ACCCCTGGGTGGTGGTTTCGTACCCTGAATGCCGGCCGTGGTGAGCGAGACAGGCCAAACCATGGAACTGGTGTTGCTAATCACATTTCCTCCACAAAACTGAGGAAAACGAGGGGGTGCTCAGGACTGCACTGAAGTTGTAAACCTCCTCTTCCTCTCACGCTTTAAGAGTTTCACTTCAAAACAAAACTGGGGAAGTTTTAGTCCTGTTTATTCTCGTTCAGATTTGCACTGTAAAGTTGACTTGCTATACTAAGCTAATCTTAGATAAGGTCTAAGTGAAACACTGCTTGTATTTTCCCTTGCTGTTGTTTACATGAGTACTCTGTACACACATGTGCCTGAATGGTACCGTAAAACTTCAGCTAGCCTCAGCAAACCACAGACTTGTCTAATAAATATTAACAGATTTAGTTTAGACTCTACATAATAGGGAAATCAAGACTGTCTTTGAATTATGTTGTAAAAACAAAAAAAAGATAAAATTAAACTGTTTCTTTATCCATACCGCTATATTTTGGTAACTGATTCTCATTTTTCATGGCGTCCAAGAATGCGGGCAACTGAACGCTGCTGAGAGGAAGTTCGGTGCTGTCCCGTCTCTGCTACAAGGCGTGCTGAAGTTGTATTTCTTCTCTCAGAAGTGGAGGAATAGAATACTCATTAGCATCTTGAAGTCACACCTCAAACTGACACATCTCAGACTGGATAACAGTGGTTTTACAACTAAAAAGGAAGGGAGCTCTAGAAGAGGACCCTTCAGATACCAAAGAAAAGCACATTATGACAGCAGGTCACAGATGCAAGGGCGTATTGTAAGCAAAGGATACCTTTCAGATGACTTTGTCCTTAGTCACTGAGGTTGGTCCTGCTGTTTGGCTTCGCGTACCTTGAAACAAGCCAGCTACAGTAGTTCTGCTACTTTCCTTTTAAGATTTTAATTCTCTCCCCTGCTGTCAAAGTTCATCTGCTTCAACAGATCAAAACATGTCCCCAGACCAGTTCCTCTAAGCCACTCTGTCTCTCTCAAGTTATGCTTACCTGAAGTCAGGAACACTCGCTTCTCTAATCCATACCAGTTGTCTGAATTCTGACGCAGGAATTTGGGCTTTGAAAAATCTAAATCCTAATGAACACTGTTCTCTAAGTTGAGCTACAGGGCATTGTTGAGACAGCAACCTGCACTTTTTAGCTTCAGAAGATTAATGTACTGCGAACAAGGAAAACCTCCTCAGCTTTTACCAGTTGGCTGTAAGTTTCAAAGGCTTTGCCTTGTGAGCTGTACGGATGTACAGACGGCAGAGAAGTCAGTCCAGCCTGAGGAAAGGCGGGCATTGCTCGAACCTGTTTAGTGTCGGTGTGAGACAACCATAATGAAACCAGCAGCTGATGTGGGAAGTGCTTTTAATGGTGAGAATCCTCCTATCAAATACAGAAAAGAGCTTTACAAAAAGAACATCGTATTTTACAGAGCAGAAGCACAGATGTTAAGCAGCAGTTTATTGCAGTTACCAGGTATGTACATAAATGGTTGTAACAATTTGAGCAGAGCACAATTTTTAAAAAATTTTTTTTTTAACAGTGGATAGTTTCTCCCTGCTTGTAAACATGAGGAAAGTGTTTCTTCTCCAAACAATTTCAGAATCGGAAAGTACGAATAGCCTTTTGCAGAGGTTTACGACAGCATTTTCTGCCTTCTGTCTCCGTTCTCTGTAATGGCTGCAGGGCACGTCTGTTCTCACGTACAGGCAGGGGACTCTTCTGCTACAGGGCAGACACACGGGCTCCCAGCTGCAGCTCTCTTACTGAATAAATAAGTGTACTTCCTTTTTTTTGTCAGAGAACACATCCATGCTTTAAGGTTTGCTTTGCAATTCTTCCAAGAAGAAGATAAGTATGTAATACACATTCCAGTAAAATGAACACTGAACAGCGTGTGTATACAAGAAGTCTTGCCAGAGTTACTCTGACAGCTCTTCCG